TACCAATATTTGGTAGAAAAAAGCTAAAAAGTTACGTCTAAGTGGTTGTACTAACCTGTTTTTGTCGCCTTCCGGTGCGACGGCGGCCATCTTGATGTTTGTTTACATAGCGCGCGTTTGCCATCCAAGAAGTCACGTGATTTCTTAGTGCAAGTCGCCTATTATTAGGGGGAGAGGGAGGGGCTGCCTATTACCGCTGACCAAATTGTGCAGACTCAGTTTTTAAAATGGCCGCGCGCAAAACACTTCTAGTGTTTGCACAAGTCACGTTTGAGATATTTTACGGTTAGAAAAGGTCTTTTTGGCGCTTTATTTGTAATAACACCAAGACCGTGAGAAGTTTAGAAAGTACCGGCCAAAAAAAAATCCAAAATTTAATTTTTAACGCTCAAGAAATTTAGGGTTTTCCTCGTACCTCGCTTGGTGTTTGACGACCTTGAACACAATATCACTTACTTTCTTTTTGCTTCGCGTAACTTTACGACAAGCTAAAAGGCTTTTTCGGCCGTGATAATTGTGTTCAGAAGCTTAACGTCGCCGTGTTTCTCGATGATGTGGTGTTTACGTTGAAGTCTTGTGTATCAACTATTGAGAGAGGTTGGATGTAATCTTACTCCAGATTTACACATGGATGAAGAGGATAGAACAGCTAACGATATTACGGTTGCTAGCATGGCTGGTGACTTCTTCTGTGAGCTCTGCAAGCTTGAGTTCTCTACGAAAGAGGTAACCTTTAAAAACCATGAGATCAAAATGTAAAGTTTATCATGAATATGTGAAATTTCATTATATTTTGTTGTCTTATTTTAAATCAGCTTATAGGCTTACTCATATTCGTATAGTACCTAACCTATTGTCCTTTTCTCCTAAATCAACAAAGACACTGTTCTGTTTTATAATAACCAGTTTAATATTTGGTTTTATTTTTCTTTGCAGTAGTGTCATGGTATTGATTCTGTAACTTTTATTTTTTGGTGAATTGGGCTATTAGATACATTTTGAGGACCTAAGTTTTTAAGAACCCCCTAAAGGCCGGTTTAGACGTTATGATTTTCGCCTACAACTGTTGTATACAACACACTTGCGCCATCCTACAACTCGAGTCATAGTGTGTAAATCAAGCGTAAAGCTCACCTACGACAGACGCGTGCAACACGAAAAAAGTTGTAGAATTTTAAAACATGTTTTAAAAAGCTATGACAATTGTAGGTGTCATGGCGCTAACGTGTTGTATACGATAGTTGTAGATGAAAATCGTACAGTCTAAACTGGCCTTAAGAAATTCCTGGACACATTAAGATCCCTGTGGATTTCCCTGCTGTTCATGACTTACCCCTGAAGAATACATGTGAAATCGGGATCCTCAACCCAGCACTACACACACAAAAAAACACAAAAATGACCCTGACCCCCAAAGAATTCCAGCACAAAAACATCACCCCCGACCTTTGAAGAATTCCATAAAAAACACCCTCGATCCCTGAAGAATTCCAAGGTCCTCAACCAGGTTTTTGGGGGGGGGGGGGTGGTTAACATGCCTAAATTGTTTGGAGGTATTAATATTGTTTGGATTGTGCATCCCACATTATTGCAGATCATCTTTTGAATAAGAGAGCAAGTGGAAAAAATTATTTTATTTCAGTACGGCTGCCTGGATTTTGAATAGGATCTGCATAGTTTTGAAACAACTAACTTGGTGGTTTCATTTACTTACCTATTTGTCAATCCAGAAAGGATGCTGCATAATTAATATTGCTGTGTATTCAAAGCAATATTATCAATATTACTGTCTACTCAAAGCAATATTATTAATAATGCTGTCAGCTATTTCAGCAGACAGCAATATTGATAACATTGCTTTTTAAAATACACAGCAATATTAATAATATTGCTTTGAGTACATAGGGATATTATTACATTGTAATGTGCCTAATGATGGTCACCCAAATTGATTATTTTGCTAGTCAGCCAATCAGACAGCCAGAATTTGTGCATTTGTATGTGAATTGACTCAGCAAGATCACAAATATTTAAAATTTTGTAGTACTCCTTGCGACAATAACTTAAATAAATAGCTAGAATTTACCTAGATGATACCTATTATGATTATAGATTATACCTATGTATGCCACTTAAACAGCAAGAACCAATCGAATTGTAAAACAAAAACAATACATTCCTACGTTGGGTCGTGGAGCCAATCAGAAATCAGCAGAAAACAATAGCCTTCAACTTATCTTTTTATTCCCACAAGAAAATGACAATGGCTATCTAGTTGTTTAGATGGAACACCAGGGTCAAATTGCAGTAGCCCACCTCCAAGATATGCTTTGATTGTCACGCACAAAGGTTTCAGTATGAGGCTACGTGCTARATGCTCAGTCATTCGTGACAGGTGGTAAGAATAAATTTAATTTAGCATGTAGCCTTATACTGAAACCTTTGTGCGTGACAAGTGAAACATATCTCAGAAGTGGGCTATTCTTGTGCAGACTGTCTAAATAGTTCCAAAGTTTGGATGCATTGTTTTCATTCTGCATTTTACTTGGTTCTCTTGTCTAGCTGTCTAAGTGGCCCCGGTTACAGTAGTTGCACTGTAATTGATGGAAACACTTGGCGGGAAAAGTTTCCATGGCATTGGTAAAAAAATTGAAAAAAAATTGAAAAAGAATTTGCATAGCCACGGTTAGGTGCGCCACACTAATAATAATATTGCTGCCTTCTGACACTCCATTTTTTCTTTTCATATTTGGAATCAGCATTATAAAGTATCTTATAAAGTTTACATAAATTTATATGGCTTGGTAAAGGTATTTAATGTTATATATTTTGTTTATTTATTAGGAATTACAGGAGCACACATGGACAATGCTACATCATGGAAAACTTAACAAAGCCAAGGGAAGGTATGAGGTTTAGTATTTTACTGACTTATGTGCAATACCTACACCTTTTTTACCAAGTTTAAATAGTAATCTTTATTGCTAATGACGTGAGAATTGTTTTTTGCTAGAACCTTTCTTTAAATCCTAAGTAAGGCAATGATGTTTTATACAGGATATTTTACTGCCCCAGAAAAAGTTTGTATATTTAATAATGCCTCCTTTAACGTCACACCATTAACATATTGGGAGTATAAGCCTTGATATCTCCAAGATGCGTCACTCAAACCCTATAAAAATATTTTACCATTCAACTATTTACTTCATTTAGAATCAATGCTGAAAATTTTGAGTTAGGTGTCATAGGCACTTTAAAGCTGTTGAGACTTTCACAAAACTACAAACAAACACTCACCTATTCAACCTATGTACATGATTATGATGCCATACACTGTAGCCTTCATTTTGGTTGAATTTGACAAAAGACTTGTAAATGAATCCTTTTGTTAAACCAACCAACATGGATGCCATGTCTTTTGTTATTTAACTCCCTTGAGAATGATTGCAAACCAGTAATAGTGGATGCAGACTTTGCTATTATTGTCACTTGTATATTATTATTATTGTTTATTTAGATATATTTGTTCTCTATTGATGTTATTTGTCACCCATTTTACAAATAGACTCTGTCCTTTTATTGTGTTAGATTATATCCAATTGATTTCTGGTTGGATGGCAATTGACCACATTATGTTATCATACATATATATAAGGCCAAACACAAAAATAAGTGTGTTTCCTGTTGTGCGACCGACCCTTATTTTCTTGCCGATTTTTGCCAACCCTAATATATTTTTTTAATTCCCAAATGCACCACAGGGTTCCMAGTAAGCTCATTTCCACTGTTGTATTAGCCTGCGTGCAGCCAAACTTTTCTCTCTTATAGTCCATCTGCAAAGCAAAGACACAAATCGTGACCCAGCAAACCAGCATCTTGCCCAGAGATTCTTCTGGTAGCATTCTCTCCTTAGCTTTTCTTTGGTTGTTCATTTCACCTTGTCGGACAGATCTGTACATATTGACTTAACAGACGGGCTTCTTTCTGAATTGGCGAATAAGGAGGAACAGCGGGAATTTTTTCTTTTGCATGTGCGAACACATGATGTATTATCTTTGCTAGTCCCTTCGATACGGCTTTTAGGGGTACACACTTCATATCCTCTGCTGATCCTCTCTTTAGCTCATTTGTCTCAACAGGCAACATATTCTCCTTGTGTATGTCACGCAAGGTTTCAAGTTTGTGTTGCAGTTGGATTAAACTTTGTCTCTTTGACAAGGTTTGAAAGCGCAACTTGCATATATACTCGCTCTGTTGATTGAAAATAAATCTCCAACTCACACTTCACGTTTAACTTTGACTTTCCTTCTACAAGATAACAAACATGGTGCTTTGATAACTCTTGAGGACATAAAATACAAATTATAATTATTACTAGCAATAAACGAGACATAAATTTGAGTCTTATTCCCGGTAAGAAGCAATGCACGTGAAATCATATAAACAAACTAGCCTGAAATTTGAATAGAGACTGAAAATTATAGCCAATCAGCAAACTTATAAGTAAGAGCCAATCAGAATGTGTACTGAAATCCAGGTATGCTGCTGGGGGTAACGGAACAAGAAAGCTGTCGCTGGTTTGCAGACGGACTAAACAGTTAGCTAGTTCGGCTGCACGCAGGCTACTGTTGTATCAGTAAAAAAAATCTGACCTGCCGACCCCAATTATTTTTCTCATGCAGCAGGAAACACACTTATTTTTTTGTTTGGCCTAACCATCTATTCTGATAAAGTTAGTTTTATCTCTCTGCTTAAATTTTCGAAAAACTAAAGAAGTGTTTTCTTACCAAATCTAAAAATCTAGCAGAATTCTTGTATGGGGCACCGACCCGGTCAATATCATCATCATTTATTTCATGGCTTATTGTATTTTTATTGTGGTCTTTGAATTTGCTTTTATGGTGATTATATTAAATTTTTGGTGGGACTGAATTTGCTTTTGAAGCAGAAACCATTCAGCTGCATCAGAATGGGTTTAGTATCCCATACTCTTTCCTAATTGCCACAATAATAGCTACATGTACATGTACAAACTTTGTCATTTGTCAAGGTCAATAGATACAAAACCTCCTTTGTTGAATAGAGCAATCTTCTTGCAGTCCTAGAGACTTGGAAGGTTTTTCTTTCCTTCTCTTGTGGTCAAAATGTTGGCCACAAACTACATAGTACCCGAGTAAGATTTCATTCCATTCATTTTTTGCACTCTTCAGCATTTGTTCCTGATGAATGTAACGATCTGCTTAGTCCTAGAGGCTGTAATAATTTCTCTTTTCTTCTTCTCTTTTGGTTAAAATGTTGGCCACAAGCTGTTTACTTGTCAATTCAGTACATGACTAAACTTTACTCATGATGATTGGAATGATCTGCTTTGTCTAAGAGGCTGTGATTTCTTTTTCTCTTTCTCTTGTGGCCAAATAGTTTGCCACAAACTGTTTACTTGTCAGTACAGTACAGCCAAAATGGAGGCCCCATACTATCTATTTGTCAATCCAAAAAAAGCTGTATACTGACATTTTTGTATTAGCCACCCCTCCCCCTTTGAAATCATCCTGGATCTGCCATTGCAATAACACTATTTGTTTGCGTTTTTTAAATTGAAGGAAGAATTAATTTTATCGCACCTTTCACTTCCCATTTCCTTTGCTTAAAGTCAACTATTATTTAGTGAATTACTTACTCCAGATTGCCTCTTTATGCAGAGTTAAAGTGCACTTAACCTCAGATACAATACTTTGAGTATTGATTCTACATAAAGTGAATACAGTAGTTGAATGATGAAATATTTCTTCATTTCTACCTTAGGTAGAATCAATACCTAAAGTATTGTCTCAGGGTCTAGGTGCACTTTGATTAACATCTTGCAGATTCTTGTTGTCACTTTGACCAGTTACTTGACATACATAGATTTCCTTATAAAAACTAGAAATATTTCCATGTTCTAAAAAGTGGTTTCGTTGGATTTTAGGGATTGTGTACACGAATGCACTCTATGCAAGGAAACTTTCGTGGAGCTTCTTTCATTCACAAAGCACCTTCACGCTGACGCCCATCAAGAACGCTATCACACATGGAAAAAACAACAACGGTCAAAAGACTGGGAAGCACTGAACCAAATGCGAGTACCTTCTTCTGTTGAGGTCAGCGGCAATACTTCATACCGCAATAGAACTCGACACAAGCGAAAGAATTCGAACGGAAAGGACATTTCCTTCCGGACACGTCACCAGTCTCAGAGAGATGCTAGAGGATGGCAACACCACAGGAAAGGTAAAGGAAACCGGAACCCACGTCACTTTCAAAAGCACGGGAATTCATTTCAGTTTCAGGCATTTCCGGTTGGCGGTTCTGAAATGGGACACAAGCGTGACTTTGGAATAATGAATGAGAGCATGGGAAGTGAAGACCGATTCGGGAGAAGTAGTGGCTCCATCAGAAGCGAAAGTCCGTTCTTGGGCCAAGAACAGTACTTCAATTTTCATCCTCAGTCACAAGAATCAACTTTGTCTGATAATCCCACTAACCTACCTGGTCAGGCAAATCAGTCGGATTCTTCTTGGAGTAGCCGCTTACGACGAGCCAGAGATCAATTTTCACGGGATGCTACAGAAAGAAAATCTCTTGACGAATCTTTTCCGAGAGAATCTCGTGGCTTTTCTGGCTCTCCCGACAGTTCGATATTCTTTAGTCGCGTGGGCGAAAACGGGAACGGTTGCCCCAAGAGAGCCTCGCCCGTCATGGGTGTTCCTTCTAGAACGTGCCGCTCTGATAACATGACCTCCCGGTCAGGAAGGAATCATAACGAACAAATCAACGACTCTAATATCTATTCGGAATTCGTGCCCGAAAAGAGCAGGAATAGTTTCGGAAACCGCCAAAACCGCACGAGGCATTTTAAGAATCAAACTTGGGTTTCCGAAAACCAAAGAGTGTCAACATGTGCTGGGCAAAACTTCGGTTCCTCAAACACTTTGTCCTTAGAAAACAGTGATGCTCTTCACGACAATCCTAAAGGCGTGACTACGCGCTCGGGAGCGTATTTTGGACTTCGAGGTAGCCAACGTCAGTCTGATTCATTTAAAAAATTTAACCAAACATTATTCAAAGACAATCAGCCCAGAAAGAAGGATTTGGGTAATCGTGATTCAAGAGTGAATAATCAGGAAGAACCTAGCGATGTGGGAAGGAGCTTCAGTCATCCCACTGACGGGAAGAATGTTGAGCAAGGAGCATATTTTACACATGGTTTTCCGGATCCTGTGACCGGAAGTCCGGAGGAATTGAAGGCTGAAGTCATCACAAGTGAACAAATTCCACTCAGTAGGGTAGGGTCAAGCGAAGACACACGATCCATTAGGCCAAGGCGGATACGTGATTCTGATGATAATAGGGATATGAATCTTGGCCATTCTTTAAAATATTTCACAGATTCTAATGTTGAGCTTCCCTCTGACGAATTTGGAGTGCAATCGAGAGGAATAAAAGCCGCTAAATCCCATCCGAACAAGTCTTGTGTGACTGAAACGTCATCAATACGAAGGACCTCGCCTCGTTTACGTCGGGACAATTATGTCACGCAACCACAAAATTCCGACATAAGTTCCGTTGTAGGTTCTTCGGCGATTACTAACACTTTTATTAATGCGGAGCAGAAAGAACCGACTTTAGGAAACAATTTAATGGCAGATGAGGAAGTAGAGAGGCTCAACGCTTTAATCAAAATGAAGAAAGAACGTACCGATCCATCAGAGGTAAAACTCCATGTATTTTTTCAAATCAATAACGTGTTCATCTCTTATGGAATAAATTATCTTGATTATACTCGAGATTTCTTAGATCACGTACTACAAACCGTTTATATACGATTATTTATAGTTGATTATTTAGAATTCTTTGATTCATTGAGCACAATATTTAGAAATGATTTATATTGGTAAGGTACTTGAAAGCACATTTGTCGTATATAGTTTGATAATGTTGTTTTTCATGACTTGGAATAATTGTCAATGGCATTAGAATTTATTCAGATATACAGGGGTCAGAAATATGATCTAAAAAGAAACGATGCCTATTTAGAATATACAGTATTAATTTTATAGTACAAACTTTTAGGCTTTTGTATGTAATTTCTACAAACAACTTAACAATTATTGTGAATTTAAGAATCAAATTGAATTATTACTTTTTTGTGATTACAAATCGACTTCATTCTCAATGTTTATAGTTTTTGTATTTTAAATGTAGGATGCTGAAGCGACTGATAATCCTGATGATGGGAATGTCCAAGAACGACTCGAGTCTACACACGGTAAGTCCTTGCAGAAACTCATATTTCTGGGCCTTGTTATTTATGCATTTTGTGATTATCGACAAATTATATATATATGTATATAATCTCTCTATCATCCATACAACTTTAAAGAATGTTAAGAAATCAAGGTCAATTTTGTTTGGGTATCGAGTTAAACTATGATTTCTGCCTTTCGTGTCACTTTACATGTACAGTAGACAATATGTTTGGTAGTATATTATAATATATTACAGTGTATATGCTTCAGACCATTCATGCATGATATACTGTTTTGTTCCGCAATTACATTTGAATTTACTTGTTTTTTTCTTTTGATAAATGTTTCCCAGTAACGAATGAAGTAATGGATGTATGAATGGTTGGATTGAAATGAAGAGAAGTGAAATAAAATGATGGAAGGGATATTTTAACTTGCTTTAAAGTAAATGAAATACTAAAAAAATATTCAAATGAACGACTGTTTGGATGAATGAATGAATGAATGAATGAAGGAATAAATGACTAAATTGATGGTTTTCACGGCGGCCATGTTGAAGGAACTTAACAAAAGTATTGTCAATGAATTCATTTGTTATATCCTCCCACATGGCCGACGTGTCTTTTGTTATTCAATTCTCTTGGGAATGGTTGAAAACCATCAATAAGCGAGTGAGTGAAGGAATAAATGAGAGAGTGAGTGAAAGAATGAATGAGAGAGTGGGTGAAAGAATGAATGAGCGAGTAAATGAATGAATGAGTATGATGACAAAGCTTGAGACATAATATCATATTCTATCATATTCTACAAGTTTGTGCGTACTCTATTTCGAGTCCTGCCCAGCATAGTTATCTATCATCTAGTATTTAGCTTGTTTATCAGTTTTGCACCTTCCTTATGATATCAATTACGTGTTGGACTTCACAGGAGAAGCTAGTGATGCTCAAGCTCGATGCAGCTTTGTTCATATCGATGGTGTGCAATGCGAGGCCTTGACTTCTGAAAGGTAATAATGATTCTATACAAATAGTCTCTTTTTTTCATTCGCTAATAGACTTTTTTACCGATCCGGCGGCCATCCTGAATTCTATTGTTTTAATAAAGACATGAGATGCCACTCTATACTTTATGAATTTCATTCTATGTATTTGTTTAAGATACACATAGGAATGTAATGTTATAGTTCAGTGTCAACCTATCCTTCAATGTTCTAACATATGATCTGTTGTTTACTCCATAGGTACTGTAGTTACCACCAAAGATTCCCTCAAGGAAATCTAATCAAGACTGAGCCAGGCATTGAACACCAGCAAGCTGTGCCTACTAATACAACGCTTCTCAGTAACTCCAGCTTATCGCCGAGTGCTCTGCCTCGAGATCTGCCTAAGGATAGAGATGCCATACCTAGAGGCGAACGTAGTGGAATAAGTAATATGATTAGCACCGGAAGACAAAGTGAAAGCCTTGGAGATATCGACAACAAAGATGTTGATCATAAACACAGTAGCACGAAGACTGTCATTAAACGAAGGGAAAGTGAAAATCACGAGAACACACCTAGCAGGCATCCCTTGCAGTCTGGTATTTACTTTCATGGAAAGGAACAGGTATCGGAAGATATTAAATCTCAGCGTGACGCCAGGACAGAGAGCAGTGATAACACTGTCTCTAAAACAAGCAGCAGTGTAGAAATGATGGACTTAAGTATGAGTACTAACTTCTTGGTCTTACCTCATTCACAAGTGGCAACATCTACCACCGTTAAACCAACAGTCACCAATCGAACAACATCAAGTTGGCGGCCAAATGCTGGAGCTCAGCCTTGGAAAGACACCGTGCAAAGTGGCCATGGTTATTGGGATTTTGCGAATTCAACCACAGTTGTAGTTTCTTCCTCGTCGAGTATTGGCCAGTTACGCGAGAAGACTGCCCCAAAATGGTCCAGCAATGCTATTGTTAAGACTGAAAGACAATTTGATGTTCCTGTGTCGCCAGCCTCAACACCACCTTCTTTGACTGAGGCTCGAAAGAGTTCGGTATCCCCTGTCAGTCCGTCTGTACGTAAAGAATCCAACATATCGCCGATCAGTGTAACATCAGTTCCATCTCTAGACCTATCAAGATTGAACCTCCCACCGCATGTACGTCGTGCTTTAGCGCTAAAGTATGCCAACAAGAAACAAGCTGATGGTGTTTCCTTAGCGGCTAGTCTTGCGCCAAATGTGAGCTCTTCCCGAACCCGATTCGTGGAAGCCAAGAAATGTCTTGCTCCTAACCAAGAGCAAACAGACACCACACTCAAACTAACTGACACTTTACTTCGTAAACCACCAATAACGTCCAGTGCTATACAAAGACGACTTAGACAGCACAGAAGTGTTAGTTTGGATTCATGTCCTACAAGCAGAAGTTCTTTTTTTCCAGAGGTGCCTAACCCTTGTGACAGACTAGGCTCAACATCGTACGAGAGGTTTCCTACTGGAATGTCCAGTGTTTCTGGGCCTCATGTGTTTAAAGTTTCTTCGACAATGAACGCTAATAAAGGCGAAAATGTTCCAGTACAACCAATGATTGATCTGAGTGCGTCAAGCTACATTCCGTCATTGCAGCAAGCAGGAGCATCAAAGAAAAGACACAGCTACAAAGATCATGAGGCGACTACTGCATATCGCCTTGGTAAACCTGAGGTACGAGAATTCAGTGGCACTGAGGGTGGATTCTCATTGGACAAGGACAAAATACACAAGCATCAGAGAACGTCTTCTCTAGAAAACATACCTTCTTTGATGCCGACAGCCAGGCGCTCAGTGAGAGCTGCATCATTTGATAGAGATACTAGTTATGCAAGATTTGACGCTGGTGGGAGCAATCCACCACAAACTTCAAGGCTGGTCCCTGCTACTGGGATGATTAAGAAGGATGGGGATCAGTTTGTTTCTGGAGTACATTCATTGAGTTCAGCGACACACGAGAAAGAAACTAGTCAGTCCAAGTTCGCAACAGTTCTTCAGGCATCCCCAAGATCTTTGATCGTGACACCTCTACCAAGTGAGAAAAATAGCGCGCTCATTTCCTTGGAATCGGAAGTCAGCATCGCGAGGTCGTTAGAGGGAACTGAACACAATGACAAAGATGGCGGATATATTTCATTAGAGTCGACAGCTCGATCAGCAACCCCTGAAGGAACGACAGATAATGTTGTCAGGCTTCATCAGTATGGTCTTCTTGATCTTGGCTCAACAAGAAAGACCTCATCTATCAAAAATGATGAAGCAACCCGAGCTGCGTCATTACACGATGATTCCAGACCTGGCGACTTTATTTTCCCAGGAATGTCGAATTATATAGGTGCTAATAGGTATGACTTTTTATCATCGAAGCGAAAAACAACCGACGGGTCAGACACCGAGGAGCGGAACAAAAGGACGAAAAGCGTTGACTCCTCAACAAGTGGAAACGAATCATTGACTTACCTACCTGGAGTCGATGTACAGGAGCTACTTCATCTAGAACACGAAGAACAGAAACAACTTAAATCTTTACAAGACATTCAAGCTAAAGCCAAAGCAACACGATTGAAGTTACAGGCATTGTCTATCGAACTAGAACACTTGAATGTCTTGGAGAAAAGGATTTCGGAAGATATAAGTAATACCAAGAACAAACGACTGGAGATTCTGCAGGGCGCATTACGAGGAGGCCGAGGCAAGACAGGTGAAGCTTTGCACACCTCCGCTCAAACCTCTGCTGAAGACAAAACTAGCTCACAGAAAAACGTTGAAAATGCTGAGAAAAATAGCAATGTGAGTGACGTTATAGGTTTCAGTTCTACTAGTGATGCACAGGGCGATTCGACAAAAACCCTTGGTTATGACTGTAATATTGGATCAACGCGAACAGACCCTGCCAAAGAGGATCAAACTGTTAGTATCTGTGAAGCACCGACCTCGGCTATTGGGATCGACCTGGTTGTTAAAACTGAAGTGGAATCAGTATATCCCTGCGTAGAATCTTCATTTTCGACAACAGAAACTTGTCAAGTAGTACCACGTCCCGAGATAAAGACGGAGGGCGTGATTGACAGACAAGAAACTTCAGCAGCCGACCAATCAGAACACATGGAAACTGATCATGATGTACCATGTGATACGTTATCGAGACCCCATGATCCTCAGGGGGCTTCCAAAGATTGTGGTATAAGTCCGGAGTCTCCATCAAAGGACAAAGATGAATGGGTCTCAGAACACTTCGAAAAAAGCCGTAAAGAATTCTTCGAGAAAATTAAACAACAGCTTGGTACCCCGAAGAAACGTCAACAGAACAAAAGACAGCGAAAACGATTCTCGGAAACTAAAGTTTCTAATTCTCTAGCTGTTTCTAAGGAGAGGCTTCAGTTAGTTCGAGAGAGAATGCGAGGATGGAAAGAGAAAGGTCATGCTTTAGACTCCACTCATTCCCAGCGAAGCCAGCCACCCAGTGAAGAGGTTGTCGCAGGAGAAGATCATGAAGACGTTGATCACCCACACACATCGTCAAACACTTATAAAGACACAAATCTTACACCATCTAAGATTCCTGTGCGCGATGTAGGCGATTCCACCAAGGACAGCACGAATGAACTGAAAAAATCAAATAGTACTGACTCTAGAGCTAAAACCGATTTAAAAGTAAAGTTAAAATCAAAAATGAATGCTAAAAAGAAGAGAAAATCACTGCACCCTACCAAGAAGGCGTCATCTCGTCCTGATAAGCACATGAAAAGCACGGCAGACCAGCCTCAAACTGTCTCCCAAAAAGAAAAATCAAAAAGCAGTGATGAAAGGGTAAGCGCAATGTCTTAGTCTATTTACAATAATAGTAGATTTAGGTCAACAAATAGAATATACCTCTAGTTTGGGCGCGCAATATTTTCGCTATTTAGGAATACTTGGTTAATAACGTTATACCTTCGTGGCCATGTTGGTTGTATTTCATGTTAATATTACCAACGAGGTCTCTTTTTCTTTGCCTTTTATTGGAAATGATTGCAAACCATCAATATGGTTATTTAGCAATTAGTCCTTGAGCCCGAATGGTCTATTGACTCATAGGCCATGAGTACGAGAGTATTAATTGTTTTAGTCAAATCCAACTAGTCGGTCAAATATATAGAAGCAAACAAGATTTAGTAGTAGCTCATCCAATCAGAACGCAGCATTGATGATCACTGATCATGGATGACCACTAGCTGGATTTGACTAATAGTTTATATCCGTGTATTAAGGCTTTTATTCAAGCGTTACTCGTACGTTAACACAACCAGCTTTTATACGAATAGTGTATATAGTCTCATAGGTTTACGACAGCAATAATGTGGGGCAAAAGACTAGAAATTTTCTTTTTTGGGCAATGAAAGCCATGCCAAAACATTGTGTTTTTCCTGCCCCGCAACATTCCTGCCGTGAAACCCATCTATCTACAGATGAAATTGAAAAAGTCACGTTTCTTGATACTGGTGGTTATCCAATCAAACGCTATGAAAGGGCACCGTCACGATTGTCGCACATCACGCTAGGATCGTGTGCATTTTATTGCGCGCATGCAAACTTTATGGGCGACATACCACAAATTTGATAATTTCTACGATACTTTCGAAGAAAATTCGAACTGGAACATTACTAAAACTTGTTTCTTGATTCTCAAACTAAAACAGAATTTTTCACTTCGTGGCCCGTCAAGTTATTCATCTTTACAGATGCGCACTAACCCTGATGAACATTTCGTTTAGTTTAGCTATATATATTGAAGTTACAAGTTTGATTAAGATAAGCCACTTTTAAAATTTAGGTCAAAGTGAATCCAGTGCCTCTTTGTAGAGCATTTGTTAAAATAAAAATCTTAAGAGAGTTATTTTCTCATCCATAAGCATCGATAAATTGAGATTGAGGAGATTGCATGCTCACGTTGTTTGAAATGGGAAAAATTTAAGGTTGCACCTTAGAAAATGAGCACGAAACACCAACTATGAAATGTAAATATAATGTTGTTAAAGCAAAATGTAAATAAAATATGAAGTGACAAAAAATTGTTTTGATAAATATGGATTTTAATATTGATCAAAATATATATTCATGCGATACAAGGTTGTGTTTTGTTTTTCATTTTATGGATATGGCAGACGTAAACCACCAATAAGTTTCTGCGCTGTCAAAAAACTGTGCCAAACTCTACAAACGTATTATTCAAGACTTCAAGTGTTAGTGTAGATGTATGAAACTAAAATGATGCGCCAAACAACGTACTTGCTCTTTCGGAAATTGTGGTGGCTTATTCTGGTTTGCGTTTGCTTTTCTTGTATTTCAGTTCTTAAACTAATTGGTGCTTTCAATACCATGCATTTGCCGCTTCATTTGCGCATCCATTGCTGGAACCCTTTCTGCGCTTTTGAGATCGAATCGGCATTACATTCACAATTGGAAATTAATTTCGTAGATTGAATGCTTTTGCCGCATTTGGAATCTCATTTGCGCATTCGATATCATGTTTTACGCATTTGGAATATCGTCTGCGTATTTCAAATTTAGAGTATAGACCCCTTGCAATAATAATCTGGAAGTCAATGCAATGAGGTACACTATCTTACGAATTTAAACTTCACTCGACGTTGCTTTGACTTCCAGCCATGGAATTAATGCAAGAATCTTACTTTCAATTTTGTACAGCATTTTGATTCATCTGATCCATTATTTAAGTTTGCCGCAATGTTGCACCCATTAAACACCTCACCACACGTTCCTTGTTATGCGCGCGCCTGCGTCTTCGTGGCTGGCGTTTTTATCATCTCGACTTTCGTCATTACATACTCAAAAAAGAACGAACATCCACCGTGGTTTTGAGGTCGCTTGGTTACTGCAACTTTCTAGTTGTTTGACATGGGTCAACATTGAGGCAAACCGAAAGGATCAAGATGAGGTTACACCATTCAATTCTGAGATTTCTATCCTTTGGTATCAGGTACAACATACTGTTGCAGCTGAATCGCTCAAGAAGAAATTCGAACGTATGTCAAAAGGTATTGAGATTTCTAGTAATATTCTTTCAATCTTTGAACTTTGAATAAAAGCACAAAAGCGTGTACTACACTTCATTCCCAGGAAAGATATCATTTTGGGTGGAAGCACGGGTGGCTTCTCTCCAAAATTTTCAAGGCTTGATATGGCCCTATAGAGATTTTGCACCATCACGTGACGCAGTCGTGTTAGATGGCAGGAACAATACAATTGTTTTACATAAGAAAGAATTCGATTCCAAAAGCAAAGGGGTTTTATTGTTCTGCCATCTAACCACAGGCAGGCCAAGCTCTATTATGGTTGTGGGCACGTGATGGTGCAAAACCTCCATAAGCAATGGTTTGACCACCACCAAGAACTGTTTCTTAATATCATTTAATACGGTTTGTTCTATATTTCTATAGCTTCAAAGTCACTCTCCACATCTAAAGCAAGAGCGTCTGTATTCGAAGGACACACTGGTGCCGTGTGTGCACTCAAGGTATACATACAGAAATGCTTTCATAAACAGAATGCACAGACTCGATTCAGCTCTTCTTTAACTCGTGTAACTCAGACAAAGCAATTGCTGTTGATTGAATGAGCAACACTCATTAGCTTAGTTTGTGTATGCTGCTTTGTTATGCTTGTGTCGTAAGCATATACTGACTGAGCTCAAACTGTGTGTGCTGTTGATGCTTATGCCTGTGTTGCAACGGAAGGCCAGGTCCAAGTAAGCATACAGTAACTGTGTGTGCTGTTGGTGCCCATGCTTGTGTTGCAACAGAAGACCACGAGCACACAGACTGAGTGCAGCTCCTGTCTAACGTGTGAGGAAAGACAATTGCTGGTAATGACCAACACACAGCTCGACCTGTGTGTGCTGTTGGTACTTATGCTTGTGTTGCAAGGGTAGACCAGGTCTAAGCAAGCACACACAGACTGAGTGCAGCTCTTTTGTAAGATGTGTGAGAAAAAACAATGGTAATGCTGGTAACGACAACTCACAGCTGAGTCTGTGTATGCTGCTTGTGTCTGCGCTTGCCATATGCTTGCCGTTGTGATGTGGGAAGACCAGGCCAAAACTTTTATTTGGACATCGCGCTTTTATTCATCTTCTGGAGCAACACTGGTAGTGTTTTTATATGTGGCACCAATAGTTCCACGCGCATCCTTTTAAAGATACAAATAAGGGTTATGAGTTTAAAAGTTGCTCTATTATAATCCAAGTAATGAAGCAAGTATTAACAAGTATTAGCGAGTATTGGACTCTGAAGATGACTTYCGCTCAGGTTGTTGAAACGTCAGTCACCGCCAACAACAGTCTTTCTCAAGACTACACTCACCAGGACCATTACACTTCACAACAAAGAAGCAAGTATTGCATGCACACTGATGTTCTTTAATATTCATTACCATCAGGTATCCCAAGGAAAACTCTTTACATGTTCAGCTGACAAGACAACTAAATCTTTTGATATCCAGGTACAAAACATTGAAGTTATAAGAATATGAATAATATAAAGATGGCAGTAATCAGTGAAGGGCAAGACACACGGCAATGCTTCTTGCTCGTTGGCATTGTCTTGCTAATCAGTCCTTCCAGTATTAGTACTACTCTTACAAAAGATTCCGTGCAGCCTCATTCACAGACATGAATACTTTGATTAGCATTGGGATTCCTGTGGTTGCAATTATTGTTGAAGATTCCTGGTTCGCCCTCTCTTTTTCACCAGGCTTCCCACCACAGGGTTCCCGAATTTCCAGTATCACAGTCCTAACGAAATGTGGTCGCTTGTAAAGGAGACTAGATACCCTGCAAGTTTAGCTCTATTTGATATTGAAAAAAAAAACCATTTGTTAAATGGTTGTTTGTGACACCCAGGATTCAAAGGGGTTCAGATTTTTCATATTTTCCATTCTCTTTTCCGTCCAAATCACTGTCTTGTCAAGCTATTCGTTTTCCCCGATGACGTTCAAAGTTGAATAATTTTTAATAGGTTCGGCGTAATGTTTTCCATAATTTTAAGTAGCATTCTCTTTAGTATGAGATTCTTTATTTGAGTTGCATCCATATTCATGTGTGCAACCTTTCAACAAAGAATTGATACTCAACTCAAGGGAATGAGACGTTGTTTAGCTAAAATGGCAAACATTTCGGTCAATGTAAAGAGCTAGGCCCATAGTCCCCTTCACACTTCCAGTTCCACTTCCATCTTGAAAGGTAGCCGTGCCTTTCCATCGAAGCGAGACGAACGGTGAGCTTTCAATGATAGATATGTAAACAATAGCTCTTATCGTAGATTAGCACGCCACCCCAACAAACCAGCGGTATCGTGATGAGCGCAGCATCAAAACGACACTATCGGGTCGAGCTTCGGATAATTTGCTAAGAAATTCACCACAAATCTTCAACTGATCACAACATTTTTAAAAAAAACCTTAGTTAGATAAAGTTTTTTGTAGTCTTTCTAACTTTGATTGACGTGCTCAACTGCGATAAGAGCTATTGTCCAACGTGTTAAAAAAATTTTTCTATCATTGCAAGCTCACCGTTCATGTCGCTTCCATGCAAAGGCACGGCTACCTTTCGAGATGGCGCAGGGAACTGTGGAAGGGACTATTCATAAATGCCTTAGATGTCATACTCATACTTACGTTGCGTTTTGATTAATATTGTGTTTCCAGACTGGTGAATGTGTAAAGGAATACATAGGTCATCATCATGCTGTTAATTGCCTCGAGGTAACTTTAGTAGACCCCTTAAAAGCTTCGTGTGCAAATTGCATATTTCAGATCTTATAACATTCCCTTGAGAACTGTTCTTTTTTTGACGAACATGTTGAAATATTTACATATGAAAGAATCAACTCCCAAGAGTGGCATCACATGGTCTGAAATGTGCACAACAAACAACGAAGCTAAAAAGGTCTATTACTACTGTTTTCATTTCAGTACATGGTCATGTGTTTTTATTATTTTGTTATTTAATATTCTTATCAGCTATACTTTTCTTTCCTTTATTCTTATTCCTTTCCTATTCTTTCTCCGTTTTCTTTTCGTTTCTTATTTGTTCGTTTTCTTTTCTCTCTTTTTTCCTTTTCCTTCTTTATTTTCCTTTTCTCTTTCTTCTTATTCTTTCATTTCTTTTTCATATTTTCTACTTCTTTCCTTTTTTTTCCTCTCCATTTTTATTCAGTTTTGTTAAGACTCACTCAACAAGACATCTTTGTCAAACACGAGACAAACTTGTCCTTTCTTGTTACTCTTACCAGATATCAGATAACGGCGAGCGATTATTCACAGGATCAAATGACCAGACAGTTCGGAGCTACAATGTCAAGGTAACTGGTGTTGTAGCGAACTACGACATAGAGCAGTTTTCGTATGACTGTGAAAAGCTCACGGCATGAACACGGTTCGTGACACGATAAGGCATAAGCCAGACCAATCACATTGCCAGGAATCATCCAATCAAATGCCCGAAACACAGCATGAACATGGTCACGGTCACGGCACTGCCAGACCAAACACATTGCACGAGTCATTCAGTCATACAAAATCTCTACATGTAGGATATAGAGCTAAGTATTAAGAATAGTAGCTCTTAGTCTATCTATTGTAAGATTGAATCCACCTCCTAAACACCCCTTCAACTTTTTTTTGAAATAGCTGGTTTTGGTTATAAAAAAACTGTAGAGAGACACCATAAACTCTAGAAATGATGGATTCCGATACCCAGAGGGACAACTAAATATGTTGAATTTCTTATTTAAAGGATGGGGCTTGGACATACCCTGATATGATATTGTTCAGTTTTCTTCTCATTTAAAGGGGTACTTGGATTAAAAAAGGCACTTGGATTAAAAACGCCCCGATTTTTGAAAGTCCGAATAATTGAAGTATTTGAGGATAATATGACACAATTATGATTATGTAAACCAGATTAGTGAACATTTTAGCCTGGGAGCCACTTGCTATTGAGATATTTTGGGTTAAAAGCAGAAAGAACGATAGGGTTGAGTAAATGACTTTATTTACTCACAATTTAGGTGCTGAATAAATTGATAATTTTTTCCCGCCACTTTTGACTGTGAAGGAAACATGTTGCTTGGCTACTATCTGGGCCATATAGAAAAGTTTAAACAAGTTTCAAGTCATTTCCAATTTTCATTGATTTTCATCCAAGTGCCCCCTTTAAGAATCTTCCACTATTTGTTTTCCTAGACCGGTATCTGCAGCCATAAGTTTACGTTTGATGGCCGAGTCATGTGTCTTCACATTGGTTTTGGTCTTCTGTATGTCGGGCTGAGCACAGGAATAGTCACTTTAGTTGACCTTACGGTAAGTTAATTTTCATCACCACTACTTCTTTCACTTCTTTTAAGACATTGACCATGTGAACAAAATATCGCCAGGCTAATTTAAGAACTGAGGTCAATCGCCTCCTACAGAAACATACTTGACCGCTTTTGGTATCAACTTGCTATAATATGTAGGGTTGTTAGCCCTAAATTAATGAAATAAAGTGCATGCTATATTCGTAAAAAAATGTTGTAAAAAATTGCACAAATTTGAGCAAAGTAACGTAGACCTCGGTATACCGTAGGCCTAAAGAACTTTACACTAATTTGTATTTTGTTAGTTAACTTTTTCAAGGAAATATGGTATGCACTSTAGCGGCTGTTGTCCTAAAACTATCTTTGGTACTAAATTTGAAAGACAAACCTGTTTACGAAATAAGTTAATCTACTCGTTTTGACTTGCCATTCAAATAAACGTTGTAAGTCCAGGATGCAGGAAGACATATATTCTTATATTTTTATATTTATCACGTATGCCAGTGTATACTGATTTAGTAAGTAAGTAAGTAAACTTTATTTAAAGAAGGGTTAAAAAAAGTATTTATTAAATACACCAGTTTAGCAAAGCTAATCTTACACTGGGTCTTCTAAAAAATTTCAAATTTCAAAATATTTTGCTTTTTTAATGAGAACAATAATGTGTTTGTTAACCATATTATAAAATTGGTTTATTGGTAAAACTGCAGCATTGCCCTTGCAGCCTCGAGTGATAATGATGCCTAAAATTGTCGCGTAGAACCAGGTCTTAAGAACCCCCGCAACTCGAATTAGGTTTGCATTTCGAGAATCAGGGTATATCTTGATTACCTGTGTAACAAAAGATGAAACAAATCTGATGGAACATTGCGGATACCCTAATAGTTTCTTCTCAGAGAGCATAACAGCCGGTTCTATTAGCCGTTCCGCGGTCGAGAAAAAACTTGGTTGAATGGACTACTTCGAAGATACGGTGGCCATCTTGGATCGCAAGGCATTATGGGGCGTCCAAATAAAGCTTTGTTACAGTAATAACATCGATTGATTAATAGCAAAGGACAAGAGAATATCGAACACCTTTACCAGCCAATAAAAGATGCTGAGACAAATACACCAAACTCTATATATTTTCCGTCATCTTTGTTTTGTTTTGCCCCCTGGCAAGATGGCCGCTGTATCGTCGAAGTAGTTCAATGATATTGCAGGGCTGTCTGAGGGGACATATTTCAAAGATGGCGCGGTCTATTTCAGCCCGTGCCCTTAAGCCGTTCCAAAATGCACTGCAATGCCAATTCGTCCAAGTATTTTTCTCAACTTCTGGCTAATACTAATTCGTCCGTTCCCGCAGGTGGCTGTGTCAATGATCATTCGAAGCCTATGAATTTTAAATAAGAATAACACCAGACTGGTTCAGTATTATTACTTTCCCATTTGACATTGGAGCCTGGCTTCACTAAGATAAAGCAAATTACAAAACAATATCCCTTGGATGGGGCCTAAGCCTGTTGTAGGTCAACCCCGTCTCCCCGACATCTTGCCAAGTATCATAAATAACCCTAAAAGTTCCACTAAATAGTAACGTTTAATTTTAACTTTAGCTGTCTTTGGAAATATTTCGATTACGAATTTACGTTTATGCTGTACTGTTGTTGCTTTTCTTGGATAAGCTGTTCATAGCAAGCTGAACTCAATAGCACCTGTTATATTGATATAAAAATCCCTCATTCGAAGCGTATATATCGTATCATCTCGTGCTTCATACACACGTAACTTTTTCTGCTACTAATAAAAACTCATCTGGTGCTGTTATTGTGTAATATTCTTTGCTGGATATGTTATTGCTTTTGAATGGAAAGCTGTAGCAGGCAAGTACACTAAGCCTTGTATTTTTCTTTATTCCTTGTCTGCTTTTTTCATCGACTTTTTGCGAAGAAGGAGAGGAACCGTTTTCAGACACTTCTGAACCTTTGAGCAGTTTGATATCTGAAGCACTAGATGACCCACTTATAGATTCTTGGTCTTGTACTTGAGGAATTAGAAACATTATCAAAGAGGCGATTGTCATGACGCTCCCAGTCACGTAAAAAGCAGTTTCGTAACTTTGAAAGATATCAAAAATCCAGCCTGCAGCTGGAGGTCCAATGGTCTTGGGAATGGCCATAACGAAGTATAGCATTCCAATAGCGGTAGGTGTTTTCTTGATACCAACGATGTCTTTTGTGATGACAGGCACAAGCAGCTCGTAGCATCCATCAAACACACCGAAACCAGTGGCCAACACTGCTAGCCATATATATGAGCGTGCTATGGTAACCAACGTACTGGCCACGCCCATGGACAGAATTGAAAACTGGCATACATACAATCGATTACAATATCTGTGGTCACTTAGTTTACCGAATAAAAGGCTGCCCAACAGGCCCCCCGCAGCCATGAACCCTGCCAGTAAAGAAGCTTTGCTTTTACTAATCTTTAAATCTTCCGTAAGTTTAACCTTGGGAGAAAGTCAAATAAGAGTATAAGAGTTCAATGCCATAGTAAGAACAGTAATATTTTCGTATGGCCCTTTGACGAACTAAAGTAATTACCTCCTAGTTATTGGGCATCCGATCACTGTGCTGGGGTCAAGGAATGATAGCATTATTACTATTTAGAAAGTAATCCCTTTATTTATCACCTGGGTAGTCAAAAAATTTAGATTGATATCAGATGCTTTTTAGACAACTGGAGGAGGTTCAGCTATACATTATATACTTATTATACATACAATGTTAGGCAATTTGTTTTTTGTATGAGAAGGTGGTGGGGGAGGGGGTATACTGCAAATTACTTACCAAATGTACAAAAGGAACCATAAACACGAGCATGAATGTAGACAGGGCAATCATCCATATTACATATCCTTTATTCCGGAACAGACTCTTGTCAATAAATTTTCTCTTATAAGTAAGTTTTTGAAGCTTTTCCTCGTCATGTACGGGTCTATACAGTAAGCCCGAGAATATCATAAGAGCATTGAGTCCTCCAAGAAAACAAAACATGTTGGATGTCCCAAAAGCGGAGGAAAGTTGCTGCACCAAAGGGGCTAATGCTAACGCACCAACAGCGGCGCCTGATGATGTGATTCCATTTACGAAAGACAGTCTCCGCCGGAAGTACTTGGTGAGCATCACCAGAGATGGAAACATTCCAAAACTTGCCCCCACTCCCCACCCTATGCCATAAGTAAAATACATTGGAAGCAGGTCCTTGGCAAGCGACGAAGAAGCCAATGAAACTACTGATAAAAATCCAGCAAATATTACTACTTTACGGCATCCATATTTATCACTGAGGAAGGTGGCCAGTGGAGCGAAGAGGTACATAACGCTAGATGCAAGTGAGGTCACCCATGCTGTGAAAGAAAGAGAAACAACATCCTATTACCTCTGTGAATGGCTGGCTGGATATCATGTCTCCCGCAATTCATGACACAATGAAAAAAGATCAATACATGAAATTTTAAAACTAAATACTATGGACCGAAAGCTATGGATAGAGGATAATTTCCGAAGTTTTCAGAATATTAACAGCTAAAAACTAAATATAAACTACACTCGGTATCTATCAATATTGAACTATTTTGATGTAATAATTATTTTGTTGCTACTGTTTCAAAGAAATCTGAACGGAGCCTCCTTAATAATGGTTGGTAAGATCATTCTTTTGAAAGTAATTGGTTATCACAGCTATTTTTATTTAAGCTTTATCAAGCTTTATCCCTGTTTCTTGTACACGATGCCGGCTTCATTTAAATCCCGATGCAAATTTATCCTTCTGGGTGGCTTTTTTGGCGTCCTCCGCAGCCGTCATAAGTTTCTCAGATCCTCACGGGCCCTCTCCACTATGCTGCTCACTCTAGCACTACATTCCTTTTTGTGTATCCCTCGATTGATTTGGAAGATATTAGCTGTCAAAACCGCGATACATTATTCTCAGATTGTGGAATGCGGATTAAGTCAATGATAGCATAAAATAATTATCAAAGAATAGATGAAAAAAAAGGTCAAATATGCTATCCAGTTTAAATCAAAAGGCCAAAGGTCAGGGTTTTCAGTATGAAATACTAAATAAAGTACAAGGATTTCCAAGGAAAATGTAAGCGTTTCCAGAAAGCTGATGGAAGCCTGATTCTCACTGGTCAACCCCGTGGAAAGGAATGTATTGCTGGAGTGAGCAGCCATTACTGGAGAGGGCCCGTGAGGATCTGGGACCGAAACTAATGATGGCTGCGGAGAAGACTGGCTTTTTATGTGCACATCCGGTTTATAACCCACTAGACTGGACTTTGGACTGGATTTTCCAATTATGATTTGATGATTTATGTCGTCATTTAGACAAGGGCGCCAGGACAGACGCATTGGGTTTTAGATGTATTTGTGTAATTGTTTCAGTTATTCTGATTGAATTGATGTATGTTTGTTTCTAAATGGATACTAAATAGTGATCACTTATGTTTAAAAATAAACGTCCTTTCCAACCAACGGTCTTTCTGGTTTGAATCAGCCGTACGTACGCTCTGAGTGTTTGCCGCTGCACTATCCGTGCCAAGCAGCGCCGGCGTCGCTYCGTTAGCGATTACTCTCCTTTAATAAGTTAATCAAATTTACCTTCAGTACAGTAAAATAGACCGGGGTAGGAAAGCAAGAGCGGTTCTTTTGTGCTCTCGTCTGCTCGGATAATCCAATTATTTTGGCAGTACATAGGACACTTTGTTTACACAGCGATGACAGATAGGACTTTCGCGAACGCAAAACGAAGCCCGAACCACGGTTCGTTCTTCGTAATACGAACTCGAGGTCAAGATAGCCAGGACTCCGACTATGACCCCACGAACCGCTAGTGGGTTCCTTAAATGTCTTCAAAATCAATACCAAAATAAATGCCCAAAATATTTTTAGATTGTCAAAAAAATAAATGCACCATTTGGGTCCACTTGTAGCCAACACTATTTAGTATCCATTTAGAAACAAAGATATACCAATTCAATAAGAATAACTGAAACAATCACACATACATCTAAAACCCAATCCGTATGTCCTGGCGCCCTTGGTCTTGCTGTCAATACCGAATGTACGGAGACTGCCAAAGAAAATGAGTCATTTGCAATCGAATACCATTTCTGTAATCGCTTACCTTAACTCTAGAAAGCTAGAATATACAAATAAGAAAGACTGAATCTTTGCATTAGAAAAACTTTCATTTAATTTCAGTCGAGTCCGCCAATCTCTCTATAAGATATTCTGAACTATAGACTTTGGACAGCAGGGATTGCTCACGGATACAGGAACTGGACGAACGCCCGATGCATTTTTTTCCATATATATCAGTGTAAACTGAATCGTGACCTTGATTTATGGTCTTCTTTCTTGGGTATGGAAGGTATTTTTACCACATAAAATATTACCTGTCTCCGCTCTGCTCGTATTAAACGTATCCACCAACTCCGAATAGATAACACCAGCAATATTCTGTTGTCCAACGGTTACGATGTGAACTATGAAAGCACCAAAGCATACCGCCCATCCCCATCCTCCATCCAAGTAAGAAAGTTCCTTGGCTTCATTGGTGTGGCTTGAACGATGTACCTTGAGGCCCATGGTAAAGTTTCATCAAGCTCACCTACAAGAAACGCGATCCGTCATTCAACTAAAACACCGTGATATGAAAAATCGAATCACGCAGTGGGCGTTAGGGAGTTACTGAACACCTAGGTCAATCGCAAGCACCTACCCTGGTTTCAAGAGGAGGTCCGGTTTCGGCAAGGTTTCCTGAGTTCAAGATTTACTTAGAGCAGCATTCTTCGCCTCTCGCGGCTTTGTCACTTTCATTAATTCCGCGAAAAAATCCCTAAGGAACACAGCGTAGCAAGCATTGTTGGGCAAGCAATTGGTGCTGATCATAGAATTACGTCTCATTATTAGAAGGTCACTGTGACTGACGAACGATTATTCCTGATTAATTGGATTTAAACCACCCCTATTTTGACAGACAGTGATAACCTAAGTTTACACCAAAGGGATTTCGAATATCATGCTTTTAAAATATCCCTTATTTGACTTTTAAGAATGCTATCAGAGCTTTTCAACCATAACAGGAGGACGAAATAAGGCAATCCATTTGTTAAAATTCAGAAAACCTTTTTAAAAAACATTCTGTGAAAACTTAAATTTGAATAAGCGGATATGAACTATTTTTGATGTCTTGTACGATGCCACTATTGGCCACTTCAGAAACGAGCAAGAGACTGAGTGAGTTTTGAATTTAATCTTATTGGGAAAAAACTTTTGTCATTTGAGAAAGCATGGTGATGTCAAGGTTAGTGAGTCTGGCAAATTTGAACATGATTGGACGAAAAGAACCAAGAAATATTGGTCTTCAAAAGTCAGGCATTATTGCTTTAAATTAAAGGGTCTTTGACATAACTTCACTAAAACCTAGATTTTATTGCGTTTTCTAGGAAGTTTTGAGAAATAAGCAAATTTTTCCCCATTATATTTGTGATCATGTAAACTGTCAATTGACGGATGTTGGAGCCTTTGACACTCACAGCGAGGGGTTTCCTGGTCTAGTCTGCCCTGTTTATCACTGGACTCACAGGAAACGCTCTTTATATAAGAGAATATTGACGTGGACGCCTTTATCAGAGATAAACGTGCATCTAAGGTTATATTATGAAAGCTCGACGTAACGTACTATGGACGATGGCATGCTGTCTTTAACTTGCGAGACCCTTTTTGGACTCACTGCGCATGACAGTGACGTACAAACATGTATCAAAGTAAAAACGTCTATGTTCGTGACTCGCTGTAATTCGACCAAAGATGTATCAGTAATGATAAAAGGGTAAAACGAGATAAAAAGATGTATGTACGAGATATTTACCACCAAGAATGGCTAAATATTTTATTTTTCCTGATTTCAAGTAAAAGCAGTTTTTTTATTGACCTGGAACTTGGAATTATTGAGCTACGAACAAAATGTACGTTGAGAATTGAGCAAAGTCACGTGGTAACTAATATAACCCTGGTTGTTGTCGAACTCAGCGAACATGGAATTGAGGTTAACGTTTTATTTTTGTAACGCTTTCAGACAAACACGTGCGTGGAACGCCTTCGCTGTCATGAACCCCGAGCCGTGAGTTGCCTAGCAACGGCTACTGAAGGTCAGCGGACATTGCTGTGCACTGGTTCTTTTGATGCAACCATTTCTATACGAGATCATAAGGTAAATGTTCGACGATGTTTATCCATGTAAACACCCTATATCTCTCTCTCTCTCCGTCTATGGGAATCATAGCTAAGCAACCGACCGAACGTCGACCAACCATTCAACATATCTTAGATAAGTATCACAAAATATTGCAGTGTGAACAAAAACTTCTACCACCTTTTGTTTGCTGCTTGATAGCATACCATTTGAAATTATGATTCGTGTATCTAGTATGTGAATTAAGTCTCATGATTCAACATTAATATATCCTTCACAATCAATAGACCTATCCCGAATTCGCTTGGATGATCACAAAACAAGGGTTTGAATTTGAGACTAAACTCGATTCTTTTATTCATCAAATCCAACCTCGACTTGAAACCATTGTTTCATCATTAGTCAAGCGAATTCGGAAAAGGTCTATTGAACTACTGAACACCTTAACAATTACGCTATTCTTTGGAGCAGTAGTGCATAGGCTAGTCTAGTTTGACTAGTTTTATACGATCATGCCATACCGGATCATTCTTCGATTGCACGTTACGTCATCGCGGCCATGTTGGCACCATTCAACAAAAGATTTCTCATTAGCACCATTGTTAACGGTACCACAATGGCCGCCATGTTTTTGTCTTATAACTCTCTTGGGAATGCTTACAACCCATCAATACACATATTTATCAGCCCGCCTTTTTTGTTTGCTTGTGTRACTTATCATGAAAAAATGGGCCGAAATTGTAAGCAGCTTCTTTGAAATGTTGCTTTTTTACATCAATTTTGTGTCAATTATCAGTCACATTGGATATAACTTGTAGGCTGAAAAGTTCAAATAACTTTCCAGTTCACTGCATTGATGGTTAAATATTCAAAGTAAATGTAATTCAAAGTAAATGTGACTGATACCATAATCCCTCTGCTTGTTTTGTACAAACTGATTAATGTGAAAATTCTTTAAAAAGTTTGTCAAGTTTGATTATAAAAGGCTAATACATTTAAAGAAATTATCATTTAAGACGTTTTCGACCGAAGTTATCATCAGAATCAGAAATTAGTAAAGTTTGTTGCACTTTGAATAACATTCTCTATCATAAGAAACGGTTTTTTTCGAGCACGAGTCAATTTATCTAATCGGGTACCTGGTTGCTCAGGGCTTCATGTATGATCAGTAAGATCTTGAAGTTATCTGGAAGCCAATGAAGACGCTTTATTATTGGTGTGATGTGCTCATTGATTTTCGTTTTAACAGCACTCCTTACTCTAGTGTTCTGTAAATACTGGAATTTGTCAATTTCCGTTGATTTCGTGTGAGAGAATGGTAAAGTATTCCGAGAAACAAACCTGTAAATCTGTCACTAAGCAAATTAGTGAACTCAAAAGTTCAACAGTACAAAATCTTATACAAACCAGTTATGTGTGCACATAATTCTGTACAATAAAAGTACAATTTACCTTTCTCTTGAAGGTCAAAGCTTTAGATACTTAAGTAGCCCGTTCGTTCACATCATGCCCGACCGTCAGTTCGTTTAGTTTGTTCACTATTGTCGGTTGTGGAGGCATGTTCAATATCTGTAGATTAGCACAATTCAGAATTATATTTAAACGGGCTCATCTTAAGTCATTATTGTATGGATCAGTGAATTTTAACACTGTATCTATAGGGATCCAGCTGTAGCTCGGTGATTAGTGAACTGATGTAATCGATTTTAAAGTCGATTATCCTAGACCAAAATAGTGTCTAATACATCTTTATAGGCCCATGCAGTTCAATCTTTTTGCATTAGACCCGGGAAATGTGAAATTCGACTTTTGAACTTGGCTTAAAACGAGAATAATCTGTGAATACATCTCATTAACCGTCTTTTTGTTGACGAAAATAATCAATAAAAATTAACAAACACAAATTATTCCAGCTATTGCCCCCTGGCAGCTCAATCAAGAAGACAAAACAATAGAATCTTACTCTCAAGAGAACTGAAACTCATTGCTTTGCCCTCTGAGTTGAACGGCTATGGGAATATTCCATTTTACAGTTCCGTTCCGAGCCGAGGCTGGAGTTTCCGCGCATGATAAAAAGTATAGTTTTGCTATGCGCGGAAACTGCAGCCTCGACTTGCAACTATAATTCGTGGTCACTCGAACGGAACTGTAAAATGAAGTATTGCTGAAACCGGTCTACTCATGGGTCTAGGAATAACGTATCTCATGCGCACATCTTTCCCCAATGGCTCAGGGGATGACTTTTTTTGAAACAGTCGTATTTTTAATTATGCGTAAAACAGGCAAATGTTGCCCATTTATATCTGACATTTTCTTTAACATTTATTTTTGAGAAATTTTCATTGAATATATCCTCTTTTTTATTTCACTTTTGATCAATTTTGGTCAGCGGTTATGTTCAATACTGGTAAAAAAAACCCGCTGTTTTAGATAAACAGATAGATAAATAGACATCTTAACGTTAGCAGACTGTCGTAGAATATTAAAATAATGGCTTACAAGAGGGTTAGGAAGGAGAGCTTCGACTGTAGTGAAAAACTAATAATTGATAACTATATATTCGAATATATAAAGGCCCATTTACACGGAACAACTTTTACCTACAACTGTCGCAAGCAACACAATAACTCCATCCTTACGACACGAATTGCTCCGTGTAAATTAACGGTACAGCTTGCTTACGACTGTTTCATGCAACACGAAAAAAGTTGTATGCTTTTGAAACATGTTTTAAAATCGTACGACAATCTTGGGGAAAATCATACCAAATTTGGCGATTTGTGCAAAAACAAAAAACAACAACAACAAAAAAAAAACCCGAGCGAAGAGGGCAGCGGTATATATTTTTCAACATGGAGGATGTAAACATTGCAAAAAAGATATTGCAGTTTTTAGTAAAATAAAATTTGAAAATATGACGAATCGTATTGCTGTAAATATACCTCAAATGTTGTTGTGTCCATGCGTAGATATATCCTGTAATTTTGCTGGTCTTCAAGCCCTAATTCTTACAAAAGTGCTCGATGTAACCCCTTTTTTCCCAGACAGATTTTGCGCTTCGCTTACGTTTTTTTCGCCTCAGCACGATTGATACGGTCCGCCATTTTGTTTGTTGTTGTCCCTAGACTCTCTTGTGGCAAACCGAGAAGATTGTACACGATTTTTAGGTTTCGTAAACTAAGAGTTACGCGCGTGTAAAAAGCCGCTAAAACATGTCCTAACTCTGTTGCGTGCGACAGTTGTAGGGAAAAGTTGTTCATGGGCCCGCTTAATAAAAYCAGCAACTAAACTATTAATGGCTAGAAGGTCTATCCATTTCCAAACCTTTTTGCCTGTATATGCTGTTTTCGTTTTCTTGATATCATAAGTTTTGTGAGATATCTCCTAAACTTGGTTTTACGCCAGTGGTGTTTTACTTCAAGAACAGACTGTTTTGCGCCATGCAAGATTATTTCTTATGCCTTCTATATTGTTCTGTTACAATATGCAAATTAGATCTTGCCGAGAAACCTCTTTGCTCGAAATAGACCCCTTCACAGTTCCCTGCGCAATCTTGAAAGGTAGCCGTGCCTTTGCATCGCAGCGAGACGAACGGTGAGCTTGCAATGATAGAGACATGTGAATAATTGTCCAAGGTGTTAAAAAGGTCTCTATCATTGCAAGCTCACCGTTCGTCTCGCTTCGATGCAAAGGCACGGCTACCTTTAGTACGGATAACCGGTCCTGCAGCCCAGATAAAAGGCAAGAATTTCAAGTATTGAGGCGCGAATTTTTTACTGCATTTTGACGATAAATCAACACTAACAGCCAGCTTGGGCTACCTATGCTCATACAAGGATTGTGTAAACTTGTAGCCGGATTCATCAAACTGGATTGACTGGATTCTCAAATATTGATTACTTATTATTCCCTTCTTCTTACACCAGACGTTTTCTCGCACAAGGATTCTGTAAACTCGTAGGATTAATCTTTTTAGGCATTTTATTATATACGATATTTGTATCCAGCTTATTAATATATATAACATGGCCTTTTTCCTATTTCTTAGAACTTGATCCTTGTCTATAATATATCGATATCATAGTAATTTTTAGCATTGCTGTTGAGTGCAATCCTTTGAATAATAAGGCTTTGTAGTTATGACGACAACGTAATCTGCATCATCAGTCTTGTCGCCTAGAGCAGTTCTGGATAGGCGCCATACAAATAGTTATTATCATCATCATCATCGTCGTCGTCGTCGTCGTCGTCATCATCATCATCATCATTATCTTCGTTTATTTAAACTTTCAGTGTGCGTAATATTTTACATTATTTTAGAGCAGTTCTGGATAGGCGCCATACAAATAGTTATTGTTATTATTATAATAATAATAATTATTATTATCATTATTATTGTTATTATCATCTTCGTTTATTTAAACTTTCAGTATGCGTAATACTTTACAAGAATAAAGCGGAACTGTTATAATTCTAGGCTATATCCTTAGTGTGTCACTAACAAATGTCTATTCAAAGGTGTAGAATGCCTTTACTATTTCGCAGTTTTGCGATATCACCCATTTTTTGCATTGTCTTATCAAGTTTTGTCCATCATCAATATCTACACTTTCCATATCATGTACAAGTTGCTGTCATTATTATTATTATTATTATCATTATTATTATTATTATTATAACGCATAAACCACCAAATGACACTACAATAAGAAAATTGTAGCAAAATGCACGTAAGGAGAAAGATGAAAATCTACGTGAGTTGGTAGAGAATTTGAAGAATTCCTTACCCCAAAGGACAAAGAGAGCTGTTGAGCTTTCTACAGAAAAGGGCGCATCTAATTGGCTGACGGTAATCCCCATCAAGGACATGGACTTCGATTTGAACAAAAGAGAATTCAGAGATGCTATCAAACTTAGATACGACTGGGAAATCACTGACAGCCCATCGGTATGTGTGTGCGGGGACTTGTTTAATGTGGACCATGCTATGATCTGTAGACGTGGCGGATTTGTTATTCAGCGCCACAACGAGCTGCGCGATCTTGAAGCAGAACTGTTGAGCATGGTCTGCAATGACGTTGAAATAGAACCAGTACTTCAAGAAGTTACAGGAGAAATCCTGACCATAGGTTCTAATAAAGCTTCTGATGCTCGCCTTGACGTTCATGCACGTGGCTTTTGGGAAAGGCAGAGATCTGCATTCTTTGATGTTAGGGTGTGTCA